TTCTTCTGGGAGCTTCTTCTGGGGGCTTCTTCTGGGAGCTTCTTCTGAGAGCTTCTTCTGGGAGTTTCTTCTGGGAGCTTCACTCGAAGCTGAACTATTGATAAAAACGAACACGAAGGTGAAACATCAAACAAGAATATCCAACAAAGTTCAGTCAGGTCCTCGGGACGGTTTCTGCTTTTTGAAACTTTTCGTCTTTAGGACAGCACGGTGGAGCAGTTGGAAGAGCTGCCACCTCTCAGCGAGCAGGTCACCCAGTCTGGGTCCTTTCTGTGTGGAGTTTGCATGTTCTCTCTGTGCTGCGTGTTTTTTTTCCAGGTACTTCAGTTTCCTCCCACAGACCAAAAACATGCATGTTAGTGTGATTGAAAACTCTAAATTGTCCCTAGGTGTCCCAGTGATGGACTGGAGACCTGTCCAGGTGTTCCAGTGATGGACTGGAGACCTGTCCAGGTGTTCCAGTGATGGACTGGAGACCTGTCCAGGTGTCCCAGTGATGGACTGGAGACCTGTCCAGGTGTTCCAGTGATGGACTGGAGACCTGTCCAGGTGTTCCTGTGATGGACTGGAGACCTGTCCAGGTGTGCCCCGCCTCTCACACAGTGATGACTGGACATGGACACCATCGACCCAAAAAGGAAGAAGCGGGTAAAGATGATGCAACGTTGATGTTTTGAACCACTTTGGCCATGTTTGCCTCAGATGAGTCGACGGGGGACAGGGCGGACTCCAGAAACCATCTGAGCACCATCAAACTGGTCGACCCACTATGAGAAGGTGCTCTTTATAAGACTGAGTTTATTGCAGCTCCTCGGACTGAAGAAGTCCTTTGGATGAAAGACGAAACATTTCAAGAAGAAGAATCCGTCCAGAGGACCTGACTGAAACTTGTTGGATATTTTACCTGATTATTGATTATTGAGCACCAACTTTGAAATCAAACCTAAGATTATTTTCTAATCTTCTGTTGATCAGGAGGCAGTGATGCTAACATCACCCACAAACAGATAAAACCTGATGGACTGTGAACGCACAAGGAGCAGACGTGGATATTTAACAGTTCCTGCTACGTTTTCAGAACTTTAGCTTCGAGCAGTTCAGAGCTAACGCCACCAGCTGCTAATTTAGCAAATGTTTTACAATGAGCTCCCTTCAACAGCTGGAAGGATAAATAGAATAAAATATTTCATCTGTTTTTACTGAGCTGGAGGTTTTGGAACTGAACCGGTCTGAAAGTCTCAGCGGGCTTCCGTCAGTGAAGGAAAGGCCTCATTAAGAGCCAGAACAGTTCAGAACTCTTTCTTTAGCTCCTGTGGTGATGTTCGGCGCTCTGCACGCTTGTTGCTGAGCGACCCGTAATCTGCAGCAACATCTGCTTTTAGAAGCTACAACCTATAATTTGTGGGATGTTGGTCCTGAAGTTCAGAAGCTCTGGACACGAAACGCCAGTTACATTTTGTTGTTCGAGTCTTTGCTGACTCCAGAGACAGACCCCAGTTTGATCCAGAGTCAGATCCCAGTCTGATCCAGAATC